TGTATTTTTAATATTAGGTATAAAAACACTCACCATGCATTTATTTTGGAGTGAAAATCAGAGATGCTCTAAACGTGTCACATTTGTTTCCACCTCAACTATTTGGTCGTCAGAGGAAGGTGCGTTATTGGTTCCTCTAGTGTCACAGACTCAGGGTCCGATGGCCGTTTCAATATAGTCCAACTAACGAATAACATGCAGTCAGAGGAAGTTTATTCTCTCTGGTGAAACAGAGGAAGTGCCCACTTTGCCAAAGCCACATTATTTTTCTAACATCCAGTCAGTCACTCGAGCAGGAGAAACAGATGCAGACGGGACAGAAACCAACAGAAAGGAAATAAACCAACACTAAAGGCAAGCGGTGATGAGAAGCGTAGCTCTGATTGGTCACACAAAGAGAAATGTTGACGCACATCACATAATTGATTGGATGAGAAATATTTTGTGACCTCATATAAGGGGGAGGGGCTGGAATGAAAACAGGTCATGTTTACTCGTTCATGATTGGACAGAAGCATGATGTCACTGAGACCATTTTCTGACCACTAATTGGTCGGTACCTCCTGGGTCCAGGTTGTTTTCCTTCTTCCTTCTCGTCGGGTTTCTTGGTGGTGGTGACCTTCTCCGCGCTGTCCAGTAGCGCGCTCAGCGCCACCCGGCGGAACACGTTTCCGTGGGCCTCCTTGATGAACTGCACCAGCTGGCGGATGTCGCAGTACAGACCCTGGAAAGACAGAGTGGGGGACGTGTGAGTCACACGCACGACAAAGTGTGTGAGAAGAAGACAAAGTTGGGACTTTGCAGTCAGCCTCACACGGTGTGTGGGTCTCCGCACATACATATATGCATAAGTGTGTGGTGTGCAGGAGCAAGGCACTGGCTCCAGCTTGTGAGTGGGTGGCCTCTGATTTTGTGCCATAATAAAGGCTGCCCTCAGAAGTGTGTCATCCTCCCCCAACGTACACAAGTCATGCCAGTGTTTCTTCAGGCTTTCTGGGCACCACAGAGCGACCGCAGTCCCTCTCTGCTCCTGCAGGAGGGATCTGCATAAAACTATTTGAGTTACATTCAAAAACAATACAACAGCAGCTGCTTATTTAGAATTAGAGATGATGAAAATGCTAAATTAACTGTTTCATCTATGAATTAGGGATTTTTGCAGTAGCTGCATTACCTTTTAAAAGTTTTTATTTTTAGATTAAAACCTTTTTTAACCGTCAATATTATATTATGTAGTATGAGTGATGACACTTCCAATTCATTTACAACAAATAGGAAATAATGGCTTAAAGTCTTAATTAATAGAAGGTGATTAAACACACCTCACGTCTGATTTATCATGAACTAGGAAGCATTAACTAGTGTGGTACAAGTGATTGTTCTTTTTTAGATTCCGCACAAGATGAAGCATTAATAATTCAACTCCGACAAAAAGAAATATGGATCTAAAAGTCGCAGTCGGAGAGATGATTTCACACACTTACCAGGTTCTCTGGGCTGTGCAGCTCGTGTGTGGTCGAGGCGCAGCGGGTGATGAGGGACTTGAACATGCAGCCCACCACCACAGCCTCCATATTCTGGGCCACGGACTTGTTGTCCCCCGTGGTGAAGTTGTTGCGGAAGCCTGCCTTGTCTGGAAGCAACAGGGAGGCGGGAGGAGACCACGGATCACACAGGGGGTGGTTTAGTCAGGGGGGGAGAGAACACTATTGACAGCTGACCAGCTTGAGTATAAAACACTGAGCCCGTACAACAGGGAGGGAGGGGGGTGGGGCAGGTGGGGCAAAGGAAAAGGGTTTGTAAAGCATATGGGGGAAAAGCAAACTGAAAAGGTTTCTGGGTAAGGAATACATGCAAGTGACTAAGGCCTGCGGTAACAAAATACAGTGGGGGGCTTATTGTTTTGGTCCAGTTAGATCAAACTTGGTGTCGATGGAGAAAATATAAACTCTGTAAAAACCAGATTTAATTTAAAAGTGTCCATTTTTGGAGTTTGCAGGCGAGTTTTGTCACTTTCGGACAGAGTGAGGGGTGCAGCAAAGGAAGTGGTGTCTAGGGGAGGGTCTGATTAGGCGAGTATATTAATCTTACAGCTAATGGTATTGACTGTTATTGATTATTGATCATGTGTATCTACCGATGTTTCTTTTTTTCGCCCTCCTGGACCTCTCACCTGCACTGCCGTACTCTGCAAGAGAAAAGAGGCGGGGCACAAGTTGATTGACATCAGGCCAGCATGTATGCGGTGTCAGAAAGGACGAGGCACCCCACCTCCGGGCGGAGGCGAACTTGAGACGCACACACACACACACACACACACACACACAGACACAGACCGCCACACATAAAAAATAATACACACCGAAAAACTGAACAAGGTGCCCTGGTCACTTTCAGAATCAGAACACTCATCGGTTCAGTAACTTGCCAATTGCACAGCACAGTAAAATATACTTTTCAGTGCAAAACTGAATTGGCATGTACAGTGTGTCTCAATGCTCAGCGATAAAGCCACTGATTGAGCGGAGATGTAATGGGCAAAGCTTTGGATTGGCAAGTGTACAGAATGGATGAGTGAGTCGGGAAGGCAGGATTCCGCTTGTTGAAGTGGATGAAGAAAAAGAGGGAAGATGGAAGCAGGAGGAGGACGACGAAAAAGGGAACAGGGACAAGCGGAGACGAGTGGAAGGAGGGAGGGAAGTAACACATATATAAACGGAGATAGCGCTGGAATGCAAAGTCGAAGTGCAGGTTGAGACAGCAGTGGTACAATTCAGCTTTGTCAACCACACAAGAACATATTATTTAAATCACGCTTTTTATCTTAAACTGCTCTGTACAGTCGCACCAACGTTAAACCTCTGAGTGTGAGAGAGAGTTCAATACAAACATCTGCACAGAAGAAGAGTACATTTTCAATAAATATTAAAATATGATGATTTATTAAACTCAAATGTAAAAAAAATGCCGTTTATACATTTTCATGTTGTTTTAGATTTTTACATTTTGGGATTATTTTAGTGAAATAGTTTAACAGCTTCAGGAAGAATAGGAATACAAGTAAAATATGTTTCTTATCCCCCAGAGGATGATGCGGTCAGAACACTATTAATGATAACACTAACTCGCTGATGATGTCTCGTTCATCCCCCTATTTGCGCAAATGTAATCGCCGTATTTGCATATTTTTTATGATCTGCGTTCAGTCCCACTCGCACACACACACTCACACACTCTGCATACTTACTGTCGGTGATGGGCTCCATGCAGAAGCCCAGCAGCGCATGCAGGAAGTCCACAATGTTATTGAGAGAGTCTTTGTTCACATACTCGCGTATTGTCTGACGGAACTGCAGCTTGTCCAGCTTGTACAGGCTGGTCAGGCAGTTCTGGGCCTGAAAGCAAAGATTTGGAACAGGACTCACACAGCGCAGGACAGATTTACATGAATCAGTGTTTCGGAGGCCGGCCTGCTTTGTCTCAAAAACATCAATAAGTCAGTAAAAGTGGCTTCTCTTGCAGGATGAGCTATTTTCATCACTTTTCATTGATTCTCCTGAACAATATCAGCTGTCCAGACAGAATCTAATCTCCTCTTTACAACTCAATCTAATTATAAAGACATTGTCCAGCACTGAAATAGAAGTGCAGCTGCTCTGAGGCTACCCTTGGAGGATTCATTCCATTTGTATGAAACTTCCCTGTGCACCAAATCACACATGCACAGAGAAAGGTCAGAGGAGTTAGAGTAAAGAGTCTGACCTGCATCCTGAGGCGGTCTCCTGACAGACCGCGGTGGCCCTCGCCACAGCCGTAGGCGCAGCCAAGAGACTTAACAATCTTTATCAGCATGGTCAGAGCCAAGCGGTGGGTGCTGAGGCTGGAGCCTTCTTCCTGTTTGAGAAGGAGGGACGGACACGAGCATGAACACACAGGACTTTAGAGATCCTCAGTGTATTTCTGATTGTACAGCTCAAACTCACCTTTTTATCATTGTCCTTGTTATTCTTCACATCGTCCTTGCTCCCCTGCCCACTTCCTCCACTTCCTCCACCGCTTCCCCCTCCTCCCCCTCCTCCTCCACTGCCTCCGTCTCCCCCTCCACCTGCTCCGGGTAGCGATCCGCCTCCCTGCGCGCCTCCTCCGAGACCTTGACCGGTCGTGTCTTTGGCCCGTGCCTCCTGGTTCTCCTTGTTGTCGGGCTTGGACAGTTTCTTGCCCATGCCGGGCACCACGCCGAGCTGCAGCAGGCAGTCGATGATGTTGAGGGCCACGTCGCAGATCCTGGAGCTGATGTCATGACTGAGGACGGCGTAGAGGGCCCGCAGCACGGCCTGGAATACAAGGAGCGGGAAAATTGGCTACCACACATGAGCTGCCCTGGCTAACATTGCAGCAGGAGGGCCGTCACTTACGGTGAGGTCCAGCATGCCGTTCTTCAGCACAAAGTTGTTGGTCCCCTCGATGTTCTCCCCTTCCTCCGGACAGGAGTAGTTGATGCAGGAGTCGGTGAGGCTGCGCGGCAGGTTGGCGCAGGCCAGCGGCTCCACAGGCATCTCAGGGACGATGACGGGGTTACAGAGTTTCTTCATGTGCTCGGTGAAGAAGTCAGCGTAGCCCACATTGAAGGACGCCACGGTTGTGTTGAATGCCGCCATGGTGATGGTGGAGATCTGAGATCGAACTGTGACAGAAGAGGGAAATTGTATTGTGGCTACAGGAAGTGTTTGGTCCAGGAGAATAGTTTCTTCATGTCTATTGTACCTTTTTTTAACTCCCCTTGCTGGATCAAACTGTTTAATCCTTAAAAACTGTGTTCCTCAGTTTGCTCCGATATAAACAGCTTTGCGTTTAGACAAAGTACGAAGGGAAGGTAGACAAACAGAACTCCAAAGAATCACCATAGGGATGTACAACAGCTCCCAGTGTCACCAGGACACACCAACCCCTCCACTGACACTGTGAGGTGGTGATTCTCAGGAAAGTTGCATTGCAGTGTGGAGAAGAGTCTAAATCCAGCACTGGTATTTGTATGTAAATTAGCATCTTCACAACAATATCATTGTTATATAAGCGTGTCCTACTTCTGCTCTGCTCAGCGGAGACATGAGCATCAGCCCTCCCTTTACTGCAGCTGATATTACTACATTCAAGTTTTCATCTCACAGCCTCTCTAGTCGCTGCACCAAACATTTTTACATTACCTTAGATCACTTCTCTGTTGATTGGTTTTAAAATGTGATATACTGTCATAGAGTGTTTCTGCAAATGTCTAAGAAAATCCTTCAAATGCTAAATATCAAGACCGATTCAAGCGACATCCTCTCGACCACATTTTGTGCCGTCTGTTCACCTTCTTTGACGGTGTTGTCGCTGTGGCTGTTGGAGTGGTCGGGCATGTCTCTTAGGAGAGAGTGGTGGGAATGGGAGTGTTTGGCGCTCAGGCTGTCTGCGTCTGCAGCTGTGTCCGTGCTGCCCCTCCGTGTGAATTTGCCTGGAAAGAGATGCAACAGATAAATATTTCAGGGTAAATTAAACACACACACATGAAAAGGACAGTTTTTGTGCGACAAAATCATGGCTCTGGTTTTGGGGATTTTCATGCTCATATTTCCTGCAAAATAAACTTCAATCCAAAGTGATTTCCAAGCCCAAACTCAAATTTGTTAGGAGCTAAAGCTTCAGCTGCAGGTTTGAGAAGGGATATCTGATGTTTAGATCGTAGAATTACATCTTTGATGCATTTTTCCTGCATCTATTGAGACTTTTTCAGAAAATGAAATGAAAAGAAATGAAAGGAGCTGATTTGAAGCGGCAGCTACGTGGATGAAGAACGGTGACACATGGGAACACTGACTAAGAGATTTCAAAACACAACTAGCTCTGGATAATAATAATAATAATATCTCTGTGCCTTTGGCAAATTTTAATCACACTTCTCTGTGAGAGCTAAGAAGAAATACCAGCGTTAATGAACTGACCTAATTCACTAGCTGACAGCTAGATCCAGACAGAATCCTCTGACTCACCAAATGGGAGCATGGGGGGGGAGAAAGCGACGCCTGCGAACTGGTGACATGCAATCTATTCTCATTATCAATGCGCCTTGCATACCCATGATCGTGGCCTGCCAACCGCCACGGTCCAGAGCTCGTCGATCATCGCCCAGGCCGGAGAAGCTCCCGAAAGAGAAGGTGCTGCGGGTGGGCGAGACGTCCAGGTGGTCCTCGTGAAGCAGGAAGGGAACCCCCATACGGCGCTGTCGCTTCTTTCCTGTGTAGTGGAAGGGGATGGAGCCCTTCCTCTCCCGGTCCTCACGCCGGTTCTTAAACTGAGATGGAAGAGGGATAGGAATGGTGTTTCAGCCACATTCATCTCAGTCTAGCATGAAATTAAAATACGCATGTTAGCATGACTGTGTCTGACCTTCTTGAAGATGTTCATGCCCAGGTCGGAGGAGAGGTCTGGGACAGCCTGTCGACGGAGGTTAGTCAGAGACACCTTTGCAAACGTCTCCGTGCTCAGAGATTTTCCTTCTTCGTTGCATTTCAGACTCATATCCTGCAGAACGCAGCAGAGGATGGTCAATAGTCAGGATGAAGCCAGAGGCAAAGCAGCTTTTATCTTATGTGTGAAACAAGTGACCTCCTCCCATTACCTGGGTCTTGTGCGTGTTGACCAGTGAGGGGGTCGCAGCGACCATGGAGCTGCTGCGTGGTCGTGGCAGAGGCGTGACCAGGGGCTCCGGGGGGCGTTCGGGTCTCTCCTCCAGGATCTGCCTCAGCCGCTGGAGGTAGAACATCAAGGCCCAGTGCACACCCTCCTCTGTCCAGTGCGGCTGCAGCAGGCAGCGCAGCACCGCCACATCGAAGTAGGTGGCGTAGCGTGCTCGCTGGGCCACGGATGTCGGCAGACCTGCAGGGGCTGACGTCCTGGGATAAGAGGAAAGGCACAGGGATGATTGTTTATTTACTTTTTTCATTCATATCCATGATCCACACTGGACTGAATCTTTGTAGTGATATTCCGTGTTTTCGCTCTTGTTTACAGATTTTATTATTTTCTAAGTAAGCCGATGTAATGAAGGTGAAAGGAGAGAGAGATGCAATTGAAGTGAAGGTCGAAGAAAAGAAACTGTGCAGAGGAAACAGTGGAAGACATAAATTGATTTAAAGGAGAATCATAAATGTAATTAAGAGCGGCTGAGAGGAAGCGACCGTGACATTACAGAAACCTGACAGCTGCCTGATAAAGATGAAAATGACCAGAATGCTTTGCATCTGTACTGAGTCTTTACATCACGTCACACGTTGTACTACAAACACCAATTACACCGTACCATCGCCTTTCCTGTTTTATTATTATTAACCACACGGCTTCATTAAAAATGCATCACAGAGAAGGAGGATGTAAACAAGGGCACAGCCTCCCTGCAGCATCATTGGGAGAGCAGCACGGAGAGCGGGAGCCTCAGCCTACGTGAGTCCACTATAAATAAGCTGGAATGAAGGTCAGCGTTTGGGAGAGCTGCAGAAGGTATGGGCCGTCGCACGCTGCGGAGGAACATATTGATACCGCGAGAGACGGCGTGAGGGAGAGATGGAGGAAAGCATTTAATCTTGGCCACTGTAATAAATGGAGCAGGAAGAGGTGGTCGATACAGACATGAATCACTTTGACAGTGGACAGCGGAGGGAGGCTGTATCATGTTTCACTGTCTAGCCAGTACACACACACACACACACACACACACACACACACACTCTGCCTACTGCTGTTGTGTCAGGTTGCCATGGAGACCTAGTGACGACAGCCACCCAGGGGCCCTCAGAGAGGCAGCGGCCCAGCCTCCAGCTCCATGCGGTAGCAAGAGATGCAGCAGCAGCCAGCCAGCCAGC